TTATCAGAGCACTGTGATTAGTTACTGTTCTTAGAAGTAGGAGGTCTTTCTCATAGTGAAGAAGAATCAGTCTGCCTATGTATTTTGCTGTACTGACCACCTGTATGCTGCCATTTGGCAGAGATGATGTGAAGTCTTATGGAAGTTCTTTCTGCACTTCTGGAGAAAGAGGGCAGATGTAAAAGTGAAGACGCAAAGATGTGCAGGAGGAAAATGGAGTGGCCTCTTGGGCCAGTACTGCTTGGTTTATGGAGAGTCATGGAGAAGTCAATTGAGGTGGAAATCAGCATGAAGAACTTGAGTGGGTGATTTGCTTTTTTGTCTCCCTGAAAGATGGATCTGAGTACAGCAGGACAGGTTCAGAAGTGGTTTTACTTCAGCTACTGCTTCTTTCTGAGGAGTTAAACTGTAATCTTTTATCAGTCAAGTAGGATTTGGAAAATGCCTAGTCAGTCTTTTGGGAGACAGCAGTGCTTCTAGGAGATTTCAAGAAGGAGCCACTTAAGTTTAGAGGGAGTCCAGAGACAGAAAATCTTAGGAGGCATACTTGGAAAGGCCAGAGATATGGAGTGTGATTTGAAACCTGCTCTGAGAAGAGGGAAGGTATAAGACTGCGAATCTGAATATAAGTTTCCTGAAAATCCATATGTAAGATTGTGCTGATGAGAATTTTATGACATAAAAGTTGACTCCAAAAGGTTGATAATTCTTTTTTCTTCTTCCTGAATTCCTCCTCAGTAGGAAACTTTGAATTTTTGCCTTTTCATTTTAAAAAGAAATTCCGAAGTTTTGGACTTTGAAATGAAATAGAGTTTCCAAGGACTGGCTAGCTATAGGAAGTTGTCTTTTTTTCTGACAGTTTGCGTATGTGGTACTATTGATAGATATAAATTCATAGCCTACACAGGCAAGTGTAGGTTTGCTGTGTCTGTATTGCCAGTCAATTTTGCTTTAGTGGTAGCTGGTAGTTCACATGACTCTAGATGTAGGAATAAACAAAAGCAATGATTTGTCTTATAAAGAAAAAAAATATAGCTACCTCCTTTGACAGTCTTCCTAAAAATACACTGTGCATCCTCCGTCTTCCTGCTGGTAGTGTTCTCTCATGCATTTCCTCCTCAGGATTATATTTGTTGGCAGAATTTGATCTTTTTGGTGGCTTGCTTACTGTGTTCCTCTGAAGACTTGTGGGTGGTGATTATTCATTGTGTTTGGTTTTTTTTTTTTTTTGTGGTTTGGATTGGGGTTTTTGTTGTTTGTTTGTTTGTTTTTTAAATTTGTGTCTCTATTCTAAAGTGTCTTCTATGTATATGGTAGAAGGTCTATCTGTTCTTGCAGTTCAAATATGCCTCTGAATATAATTGTGTACTTTACATTAATCTCACTTTTTTAGCAGCAACATTATCATCCTGTTAGAGGAAGCATCTTCTATAAAATTAGTTGGCATTATTAAAAATAGTAAGTCTTTGTCCCCTGAATGTATTTTTTTGTTGTCCTAGTTTCAAACTAAGTTGGCTTTGTTAATGTGAGTTTGCATATATATTTTTAAAATTCAATTTATATTTTAAAAATACAGAATTGAAAGGAAACTGCCATTCTGCTGAATCTTCTATATTCTGCAGTGAGATAAGATATAATTTCTGTCCCAAAGGTATCAGTTTAGATTTCCATGTAGATTGTGACCAAAACAGTGACAGTATCAGGAAAGCTTAAGACCAACAAGAGTTTCCCAAATCTTTTAATTTGGCTACAAATCCTTTGAAATCTCTTCTCCTGTCCTTTAAAGTATCAAGGAATCATTTGTGATTGATCCTCAACCCCTCATTTTACTGGGTGGATTTACTGTAATCATCTGTTGACCATGATTAGAGTAAAAAAAAAAAATTGATTTGTAATTATTTTTATTTTTTTCTTGAATGTTTGTGTGTGTATCTGGACATACTTGGTTATAATTTGATTTACTCATATGTATATATTTGTATATAGACTTCTAATACTGTAAAATTATTTGGTCTTGAAACCAGTGCTGGCTTGGTGGTTTTATTGGCAGCAGTGGCAGTAGGAATGCAAGAAAATAGCAGGACTGTGAAATATGACAGTAAGAACAAATGAGTTTTTACTGCTTGGGTCTGATGTGATTAAAAGAAAGTAGTTTCTATTACAGCAAAAGCCAACAGATATTCTTCACTTTCATAGTAGTCAAGACCAAGAAATGTCAATGTCAGTTTTGGAAAAAAAAAATAAATTAAAAAGTCACTTTCTAAAATAGTGACTTGGATAAAAATATCCAGCGACTGCAAGGCTAATATAAACCCTTTTCCAGTTGTTTGCATTAAAGTATACTGGAATTGTAGCATAGCTAAGAATATTTTCATATGAGGAAAATAATGTTTGTCTATGTTTTGCCATTATTTTCCACATATGGAATCCTTTGGTTAGGTATTTGTATAGTCACACTGATTGTAGGGAGGGGGGCATGTTTAGCTTGGCTACATGAGAAAACATCATTGTTTTTATCAGTTCAATTTGTCTAGATAATTGAATTAAATATGCAATATTTGTGATTTATTTGTCAACTATCATATTACGCTTGTAAATGCTTCAGTATTGCCAAGGAACAGCAGCTCATCTCCTGATTCCCACCTAAGTGGGAGGAGCAAACCTATGGTGAACATTGAAAAATCCTAGTGAGATGTTGGAGTGCTATCTATGCATGTTTAGATGAAACATATAGAAATGTATTTGTCTTGGGAGGAGAGGACTTAATGGATATATACTAGAAGCTTACTTTTCCACGTCCTTGTCCCAGACTGATTTGTTTTAAGCAGCTCCCTGAAGTATGTACACTCTTCTGCATACCTGTTTTGTTGAAAGTACACAGACCTGGCACCATTGTGCTTGCCAGGCGTTCTCTTATCTCCTGCAAGCATTCAAACAAAAGTGTTCTATTGCTCCCTGAGTAATCCGTGGGTGATCTTAACATTGAGCAAAGCTCAGGACAGCAACTTATTTCTTGGTGCAGTAGTAGACAGTCTCTGGAAGGAAGGGGAGGGGGTGGAGCAGGGAGAAGACAGCCACAACTCAAAATAAGTAGCTGAAGGGTTGTGAGTGTGTCCATGTATGAAAACATTGCATAAGCATATAAGTGCTGAAATGTTAGGCTAATACAAACTGAGTTTCATAATATACCCTGGGTTTAATAAAGCTGGTTTTATATATGTGTTTTCTTAAAGTAGAGCTCTCAAACCACTCTATACCCAGTTTCTGTTTGCGTGCTAATTTTAATCTCCAGTTCTGGAAAGCAAATTTGGCATGTTTTTAAACATATAGATAGTCTTATTGAGCAACAGGAATTATTAAATGCAATGTGTAATACAGTGCCTTTTATACACAGCATCTTTAAGTCTCTTGTGCAACAATTATTATGATCTGTTGGGGGAGAGAAGTTTAAAAATATCCTAAATAATTAATAGCAGGTTTTTTATGTGCCCCCTCTCCCAAAAGAAAACAAAACCCATGTTGTTTCCTGTAGTGTTAACTGTTAAATTGGCATTATCTGATACATTGCTTTCTTGTAAGGGAAAAAATGAAAAAAAAACAATTTAAATATTTTTCCTGAAAAAATTAAAAAATTTCTTGGTTATTTTGTGGTTTAGTCCTGAAAGTTAATTTCATGCCCTGCTTAGAGATACAGTGTGGCCTGCTTAATTTAATCAAGAACAACACTTTGTTTATAATTTTCTTATACTGCAACTAAAACTATGTCTCAGCTCTGGAAAGGGGAAACATGATGAGTCCCAGACTCAGAGTGGTATCTCTAAATGCTTTAGAGCAATCGGAAACACATGAGCTTGAATTATATTGTCTATAGTCTTTAGGTGTATACACAGAATTTTTTTGTGACAGTTAGGACATAGATTTACAGGCAAAAAGGGTTTCTATCTCTAATCAGTGTTGCAATCTCTAGATGAGTCTTGCCTAGGGAATTCTTCAGTTTATTATACAAGTGCACACACATGCCCAAAGCCCATTACAATGAAGGGTACAAATTAATGAAGTGCAAAATAGGAAAAAGACTGGTGTAGTGTGCTAAAAATTATTTACTGCCATCACATATATTCTGATGCAACATTCTGAGCTTCTTTCAAGACTTAAAATCTAGATGAGGAACGTTGGATTTATCTGGCTTTTAAATGAATGATCACTGTGCTTGCAAAAAATGTGTAAGAGAAGCAATATTTGAAAAATAACTCTTTGTATTAGCTGAGAACAATTCTTCAGTAGTTAGCACAAATATTTCCTGTGCCTTGTTAAATGTTCCTAATACAACTGGGGAATCGGGGTTCTATTCCTAAAAGTGTGTCCCTCTTAAAGATTTTTTTGTTTGTTTTTTCGTCCAGATTAGGTAGATAGAAATCACACTCTGAGCTGTTCTGCTGGGGGTTTTTTATGCTGAAAAAAATACAGTATGTGTGTGGCGCCAGAATTGGTTGGGAACAGGAAAGGCATATTTTGTATCCATACTAAAGGTGTCAGCTTAGTGCATAGAAGACTTGACCCTTGTCAGGTGTTTTGAAGTTAACTGGCTGACTTATGGATTAATGAGTTTAAGACTGAAGTCAACCAGTGACAGGAATGAGCTTTGTTGTGTGAGTGTGGCTGCGGTGCAGATTTACAAATTTTTATAATGCTTTCAGTTGGACCATGAAAGTCTGATGTAAAGCTTATCTCTGATCTCTAACTATGGCCATACTCGTGGGATCGTGTTTGTATGTTTGGGGGGAGGGAGATGAATTCTTTAACACTTGACACCTGGCTCTATGAGGTTTCTGGTCATAGTCCTAGGAACAGCACTATTCAAGGCATTAATAAAGTTAAACCCCTTAAGCTGTATGACCAGTAGGTCATAAAAACTATTGCTGAGTATTGTGATCAGTCTTTCTTTTACAGTTAGATTATCATCCTGACAACTAATTCTTTTTTCTTTTGCCTTTTTATAGCTGTTGTGAACTTGGACAACTCTGTGGTTGACCTAGAGACCCTTCAAGCCCTGTATGAGAATGTAAGTAATCAGAAGAAGTCCATATAAAGTAGGAATACTGTGTGTCCATGTGGAAGCATTTTTACTTTGCATCATTAGTATTCAGAAATCTTGTAGAACATGTCCGATCTTGGAGTGACTTTATTTTCCCCAAAGCAATGCAAACACTAAGCACTTAAATTTCATTAATTGCCATTGTATATTTTATGTCCTACATACATTTTTATGTAAGTAACGTAATCAACATCTAAATAACTGAGCAGAAATCGGTTTTGTTCCTTTTTTTTCTTCTTCTTGGGTGGGGCAGTCCTTGAAGTATAGGTATTAATAGACCTCGCAGTCCCCATCTTTGACTTCACTTTGTGACTTCATTAATATTAACGAGGCTGTTCAATTAAAAAAAAAAAGTTTTGATGACATAAATCAATATATTTGTGGAACTATAGCTTTTAATTATTGTTACTTCAGGAATTCCTCCAAAACAATTTTAACTCTTTGAAAGGAAAAGAATTTCTCTAAGGTAATATAATAAAAAGTAGTATAAACTTCCAGGGGCTTCATAAATGTCTGGTAGTAATAATAAGACACCATTTAAGCCCTAGGTATATAATATCAGGGATTCAGAAAAACTTCACAAAGCCAGTCAAATACCAAATTCAAAAAAGTAGATCTCAAAAACATGTTTCTGCCTTCAGATGAGGCCAGTGAACATTCCCCCATTTTTTGAGCGCATTACCTCCTGCTCTGATGTGGAGGTCTGGCTGAAGTTCTATGGAAAGAATGAAGAGGCTTTCTATATACCCTCCAAAGAACCTGAAAATATTAAGAGTAAATCTGTCAGATACAGAATGGTATTGAAGGCCAGTGTATGCTATTGTATTGGATCCTTTATTTCCCTCCTGTAGGAGTTTTGATAATGTTAACTAATTTTACACCTTTCAGATGTTTGGTTTTTAGTCTTTATCTTTTAATGACCTCCTTTGGGATGATTTGTTGATTTATGAAATATCTCATAAATAATCCACTTTGAGGTCCAAAGAAAGAGTAAACTCTAGTCCACTTTATAAAAAAAACAAGAAACGAACAAAACAAACCAAAAAATCTGACAAGAGCTAGGAAGAACTTTTATTTCATCCCTGAAGAACCAACTCACTCAAAACTGCTTAGAAGTATAACGGCCAAATGGCAAACCTGTTCTAACTACCTCCAAATCTCTATAGACATTTCTCATCCTTGTGCCACAGCATTTCTGTTTTAATCTGTGCTATTTTATTTGACATTATTTTTAATCTGCTCTCCTATACAGCATAGCTATATCCCATTGCATACATTCTTTAGTGTGCAAAAAATTGAAGTAATTTTATATATTACATATGCATCATTGGAAAAGACTGTGTTGTGGGAAATATGGAATAGATACTGAAGTCATGATCTGGTTTTGCACATTTCCCTCTTTTATAGTGAACAAGATTTTTTTTTTTTAATTTTGGTTTAAAAAAATATAACTCCTATGTGCCTAATGTACTAAGAGGGTACTTTTCAAATGTTTCCTTAAGTTTATCTCTACCATACTTCATAATTCTAGTATAATGGAGAATTTGCAAATTTTGCAGTTCATTGACATAACGAAATGTCATTGTGTTAATTTTGTCATTACCTTCACTAAATACAGAAAATGTCTAGGACATATTGTTCTGATTGAGGAAGATACATGTTAATCTCAGGCAAGACTCAAAAAGTTGGAATGTCCAATGTATTTCTTTTCTTTGAATAGAAAACAGATCAGTCCAGTTGTGTTTGCTCGAGTACAAGACAGAAATAAAACCCCAAAACCACAACCAAAAAACCCAACCTAACCAAACAAAGAACTAAAAATCCCTTCAGTTTACTTGGAAAAAGTTTTCTAAGGGAACATGATTTTTAATCCTGGATCTTCTGCTTGATAAAACCGTGTCTTGAAAGAAGCATTTTTTTTTTAGTTGACTTTTATTTTCTGTTTTCAACCTTTTGTAAAAACACATCAGACCTTGCATTTTCATCACTTGTTAGCTTCACTAATTATAAAAATATTGTTCAAACAGTTGTAAGCAATGAGTTGTACCAGAAAGCCTGGCATGTTTGACTCCTCCCTTATTTCTCAATCTCATCCTGTGTTGTAAGTGGGGTTAACTTTGCCTTATTCATGTACTTTGAAACCATTAACTTAAATTTTACTTCTTAGGGTTTATTTATTGGATTGGGATTTTTTTGCTGGATATTTAAATATCACCATCTTAATTCTCAGCCTTTCTATTTGATCTTTATGGAACATATGGGAGCATTTGTTTTACAGTCTTTCTTCAGAATGTAATAATTTTTTTCTGATTGCATGTGTCTGGCATAGTGCTTTTCTTTCTTAAATGTGAATGAAATTTGGGCAGTCTCCAAACCTAAACACACCCTAATTTCAAAAGCCACAGTCCCCAGGGCTCAGTTCTTGTTTATTGAGGAATTAAAGTCTTGTTAAACCACAAAGTTACTGTATACATCTTAGTGACTTTTTATAAACAAACAAACCCACACCCCACCAAAGATCCTAACCCTCAATAATTTATTCAATAGTATTAACTTGTATTGCATTTAGTGAGAAGCATTTTGTCACTGCAGCACTGTATGGTAAAGTCAAATAGCTCTTACGTGTGTTTGTGTAGCTTGCTTTATAAAGAGTTGTTTAAATATGTGTTGATAATTAGCTATGTATTAAAATCTAGGCAATTTTAATAGGAGAGTCTTAATAGATAAAACTACATGTGGAACAGTTACTTTAATGTGCTTTTACAGACTGTCTAATAACAATGCTTTCAGGGGACAGCTATAATTAGAGAGGGAGAAGGTAGATAAAATTCACTGGAGTTGTCAGTTTGCTGTATGTTGGTAGGACATGTTGGTTGTGATAAGAAATATACTGATTTGCAAATAAGTGAACGTTTACTCTGAAAACCAATAGCCTCTTAGCAGCTGGAACTGTAGCTGAGGTATCACTGAAACAAGGTAGGTCTGGTCCTGCTTGTGTCTTCCTTAGATCATGAAAATAATAGTATAAAAGTGGATCAAAAATTGTATCAAAGAATTATCTTTGATCTGTGGTCTCTGGATTTGCCCTTTTCAATTCTCTTTACATCACAAATGAAACATGTATATTTTCTTAATTTGACTCCTGGTAAATTGTCCAAATTGCCTTTATCTTTAAAAGACTTAGGTCAGTGCTTTCAAAAACCTCAGAATGCCTATCCAGAAATCTTAAGTGCTTCAATCCTCTCTGCCACTAAGATTCAATTCTTGTGATTTCTTTTTTTTTTTTTCAGTAGCAATTACAATGTAATGTCTTAACATTAGTAAATAGTGTAAATTGTACCTGAGTTCTGATACATGACCCAGCTTCAAAGGAACGTATTTGTTATTAACTTGAGTATCTCTGTTTATTTTTGTTGTTTCATATACTTTTGATCAGATTCCTTAGACAAATCACTTACTGTTTTTGAAATATGTAACGTAAACTTTGAAAATCAAGTTTGGAAAAAAAAAAAAAAAACACCACCCCAAAATTAAGAACCTACATACAGTTAACCTGATTTAAACTCAGAGCTAAGGTTCTGTTGCAAGGGAAAAAAAAATAACCAGAAAATTGTAAGCTTTATTTTGTGAGATGGAAAAAGGGCCCTTAGGAACTTTGGTGAGACCAAATACAGGGTAGGTTTATACTCTGGCAAAAACAGGAAAAGAATTAAACTGAAGCAGTATATTTTTGCAGTAATTTCAATCAGATTTATGCTGAATGATTTTTAGATATAGTTAATATCAAATTCTGGTATATTATGCTGGGTTTTCCCTTTATGATGCTATGTAATAGCTAAAATCACTGAAATAAGTAGCAGTATCATTCAAAGTGGTGCTATTTCTGTCTGATTAATGACTTTCATGAGAAGCATCTATGGAATGTGTTCTTTCTTGAAACAAATCTGGAGGTTAATATGAAAGTTTTTTAAAAATTATCAGTCTGCAAATTAGAGAACAAATAGGCATTAACCATAAAGCAAACTGGTAAAAATTCTGAGAAATAATCTTCAGTGATACCTGTGCAGAAGACATGTAGGTGTTATCACTTTTCTATCGTAATTAAAAATACACATGAATCAGAAGTCTGGATACCTGAGCTAGAATTAGTGACCTGAAATTTTGGGTTGATTTGGAACTTGGAGCGTATACATGGACCTCTTGATTTTGGTGAAGAGTGTAAACCCATCTCTCTTGAGTTTTGCTCCAGCCTGCCCATGAGTGGATCATGCTTAGCCTTTGTATCTTTGACAGTTGCTACTTCTTTGCATACACAATCTGAGAATAATGGCTTAAATAAGGAATAGTGAGTCTGCCTAACCTTTGCCCATGGGAAACGTTAACAGCTTGAACATGCATGTATATAACAGATTGCTATCATAAGCACTCTAATACTTCACTATGTGTAGAAGGCCAGAAGAAGGAGTAGTCTCAGTATTTATTTTAAAGAATTTACAAATAACCATTTAGTTTTTAAAACATTTACTTCTCTTTAACTATTATGAAAAAGTTTTCTGGTGATTTCCTTTCAGTTTAACAGAAGACTATATACTTTACAGACTGGTCAGAAATAACAGAACTTAATTTTAAAAGTGTTAGTATGAGAACTTGCTTACTTTTATGAAAAGGTAATCTTTTTTCTTTACAAAAATTTACGAGTGTAAATTGAATACAAAAATTTTTTTGAAGTGTAAGTTGAATAAAGAAAATACCTCTTCCTAAAATGTCATGCCCAGCCTTCTGTGGCTCTGATCACACAGCAATTGGAACAATGCTGCCTTTATTTGCATTCTTCCAATTTATAAAATCTCTAGATTTCATCTGTTACCAAGAGAATTCTTAGTGAGCTCTAAAGTAACGGAAGCTTTCTTTTTCTTTTAACTCTCCATTGGGTGAGTATGATCTAGATGAAGTGAGGAAATGTCCCATTTATACCTGCTCCCTAACGCAAAACGAAAACCAAGAATTTCTCTTCAACAGCACACACAATATTTAATTCAGTATGTCTGCAGATAGTTGTATTTTTTCTAGTCCTCACCCTGTTTCTGGATGAGTAATCTAAGACTGGATAAAATTTCCTGATCTTAGTATCTTGAAAAAAATTCTTCTGAGGACAGCATTATTCAAGAAACATTTACTACTGTAATTATATACACATGTCCTATGCCTGCTTTGACAGAGACTGTTGAAAAGTACCTTTGGAGGATGAATCCCCAAATTTGTTTCCTCACCATAAACTGATAGTGGTGTAGGGAATTCAGGAAACTAGGTCTTATGAGCGGACCACTGCTAGTATTCTAAAATTAAAAACTAGTAAATTAGCCCCAGCCTAGCCATTGCTAACTGAGAAAAGCACAATGAATAGTTCAAGGAAGGGCCAAGCTGGTGAAAGGAAGTGACCTGCTCAGCACTGGTGGGACCACGTCTAGGATGGGATCATATCTAGGGTGCTGTTGTGTCCAGTTCTGGCCTTCCCGGTCCAAGAAGCGCTGACATATTGGAGTGAGTCTAGTGAAGAGCTGTGATGATGGTTAAAGACTTGGAGAAATTTTTGGGGTTTTGTTTGTTTGTTTACTGGGTATCCAAGCACAGGAATAGGACACACAGAGAAGTACTCAGGTCTCCATCCTTGAGGGTATTCAAAACCCAGCTGGACATTATACTGAGCAACCTTCTGTAGCTGTCTCTGCTTTATGCCAGCATTCAACTAGACAGTCTCCAGAGTTCCCTTCAAACCTCAGCCATTCTATTAATCTGGGATTACCAGATTTACCGCCATTATAATTTCGTAGTGTTGAGAACAAATTTTATTGCTGGGAGAAAAAAAAAAAATTGCTTGCAATATTTCCTTGTTGAAGTATCTAATAGATAAGATCAAACTCCTTTAGAGAAGATGACCTTTAAAGAACATCCACAAAAATCCTGGATAATTAGGATATGTCACATTCAAGGCAGATGGCCTTGCAACGATTTCCAGACTTCTTGAAGTAATGAGAGGAACTCTGAAGTTTTTGCCTAAATGACTCTTCAATCTCTTCATATACTGATGTTTCACATCAGTATTTGCTTCCTTTTCACATGGAAAGATGTTCAGCAACCTAAGAAGAACTGTCCAAACCTCACTCTCTAGTTTCATGTTGCTGATGGAGCTGGCAGTATGATTTGAGGTAGTTCCGTACCTCTTCTGGCAGCCATGCAAAAGCATGTAAGAAACAATGTAGGTGAAGCCCATCTTATGCTTTACCTTTATTTAAATAGTTAGAATGTAATTTTCCACTGTTGTCTTCAAGTTCTGTGTTGGAGTAAGTTAAAAAAGAGTGTAATGTTTTCTTAAAGGAAGAAAGGTACTTTTTCTTTTTTTTTTTCACTCTTGCAAAGTTTCATATTTTGAACCTATTTTGAAAACCACCATGGCTGTCAAAAGAAGGGACAGAGGGAGAGATTTCCATTCCACTTTTATTCCTTTCCATGCTCCATTTTCCAGTATTACAGTTGGAAAAAAAATAATTTCACTGTAGTATGGAGCACAGGAAAAAATGAGTTTCTATTGATTGGAATGCTGAAGAGGTTTCACAGTGTGCCATGGAGTTCTTCAAGAAACTAGGCAGTTAATATTTTTTCTTTTTTTTTACTTATTAAGATAAAAATGAAAATAATTTTAGTTCAAAGAAGTGTGCAGTAGTTCTCATGTATGACAGTTCCACTATAAATCAAGTAATTTTTTGTTTCATAGTGTTTTTCAAATACCAAACAAAATTTAAATAGAAGTAAAAAATTAATTTTTTTAAAAAATGTATTATTTAAATGTATATTTAAAGATCAGACCACATTCAAAGGCAGTCCAACAGATTTGTAAAGAGAATACAACTCAAGACTGTCCTTCAGTTCAACGACTTTATAAACATGCAAAGAAAAGAAATTGGGAATGAAGATTATTGTCCCTGTGCATCATTTAATGAGTAAATATTTTGAAGATTACTAGTAGTCAACAATATTGTTTGAAAGATATTCTGTTCTCCATCAGATCTATTTATAATTAAAATCACTGTATGGACTAAGTAGTTTTACCATAAGCAGATGCTAGAAAGAAAAGAAAAACCTATGAATTTGATTTATTATAGGGGTATCTTTGTTTGTGTTGTTTGACTAGGTTTTTTATCACAACACTTTTTCATTACTTTTTTTCCTTCATTCTAGAGAGCACAATCAGATGAATTAGAAAAAATAGAGAAGCATAGCAAGGCATCCAAGGAAAAAGAAAACGCCAAGTCTTTGGATAAGCCGGAACAGTAAGAATATACTTATGAAGGAGCAGTATTGCTCTCTTCAAAAATCTTTCTCTGCTGTTGTAAATTATGTAGAGATGTTATAAAAAAAACCTTCTAACCTGTATCTAGTAAGAGGGACTCACATAATTTTTTTAATCACTCCTACAGGTTCCTCTATGAGCTCTCACTAATTCCCAACTTTTCAGAACGTGTATTTTGCATCCTGTTCCAATCAACGTTTTCAGAAAGCATTTGTTCAATCCGTCGCAAACTTGAATTGTTACAGAAACTGTGTGAGGTAGGTTGTGCTCTGGGAAAATGTAGTTCTGAATTTCTGATATTTAATCTTGTTAAGTTGTACTCATATTTCAAAAGTTTTTACTCTATTTACTTTAGGTACTCATTAAATCTTAAGGATAGGAGAATAGAACATTTTATGATTGTACTTCAACATGAAAGTGAATTTTAAGATTAGATTTTGGTACTGAATTGTATCATGTTTTTGCCATCAGTACATATCAGTCTCTGGAAAATAATGTACCTTCTCCTTCCTTATGTTAAAGCAAAGTCTTCCCTCTTCATAGTGACCATATCACTCCTTTCCAAAGGAATGCCAGTTCAGCACACTTTGTATTTGCCTGGATTTTAAAAGTGTGCCACTCAATAATATCTCTGATATCTAAAATCAGTTAGAGATAGCAATGTTGTATCTAGTCAGAAGAGATTATTGGAATTTTGCAGTCCCATGAAAAGCAAATACATGACTTTAAAATGCAGGTTAAACAGTATTTTAATAGCTGAAAATTATTTCAAATATTTCATGTTTTACTATGTACTATCTTTTAAGCATTTTAGTCGTTCCGTGTGGGTGTTTTATGAACTTCTTGATGAATTTTCCCTGAAATTAAATGTAATATTCATAATATCAACATCAGTTAAAGATTACTATTTTCATTTCTCTCAATGGGTTGTCTCTGATAATACTCTATAGATCTCCTTTTATTTTTTTCTAAGTATCCAATTTGAAGATAACATTCTCCATTCACAGAAAGTTACATATTGTTATTATCTACTTCTACATGTTGCAGTAGAAGATTGTTAACTGCCTGTATTTGAGTCTTTATATCAGTATTATTTCTAAACACACTAACAACAAATCTGCTTGTTAACTGTAAATATTTTTCTGACTTGGAACAGACATTTTTTTTCTCTCTCTGTTTTTTAGACATTGAAAAATGAGTCAGGAGTTATGCGTGTCCTGGGTTTGGTTCTTGCCTTTGGAAATTACATGAATGGTGGAAACAGAACACGAGGACAGGCTGATGGGTTTGGACTAGATATCCTGCCAAAACTGAAAGATGTCAAGAGCAGCGTAAGTTGATTTTAGACTTCCTGAAGGCCTGAGAATGTTAAATTCTCTGAAAATTACTTTATCTCCATTTCTGAGTAAATGGTGTGAAGCTTACAAAGGCATGTGGAAGGGAACTCTTTTGTTACTATACTTATTTGATCATACTTCTAGAGTTGGATGTATTTATGAAGAAATATGAAAATGAACCATCTCTTTTCACTACTGTACAAACATAAATACCTTAAGTTATATCTTAGTTCCTAATCTGATGTGTATTTGGCTTTCAGTACACTGCATAGTTCTAACTTTTCCTGTATTTGGAAGCAATACTATGATTTTGCTCATAAAATTTATTACAGAAGTGGAAGGACGTGTCAAAGAAAAGTTAACTGTGATTTGATGCTGATTCAAAATATTTGTGGGGGAAAAATGTAATTCCTGAAAATGATAAAATAGGTATCCAGAGCATTTTGGGTAACTCAAAATTCATCCTTTATGTTCATCATAATTACAAAGTGTGCATTTGACACAGGACCATGGACCCACCTGAGTAAAGTACTTGTTAAGATTTGTCTAGAATAGTCATCTAAATACAGAGTATTTAGATGTAAGTAGTGTTTTTTCTTGCTCAGTGCTCTACTAGAGTGTATGTGTTACCAGCACTTTTTTTGGCTCTGGTTTTTCGAATTGGGGTTATGTTCATATGTATGCTTTTGTTTACAATGAATCAATAATCTTAGAGTTTCCATGGATATAATGAAAAGACTTATCTGAATGTGGACTGTGGTAGGAGACTTACGGTATTATGACTATTGATGATGCAATTGCAAGATACATTTTCAGTTTATTTGCTACCGATTGGTCAGAAAAGTTCTTATATAATAGTTTTCTGAAAATATCTGAAAATATAATTCTGTCAGAAATCCTCTTCAAATGGAAGATCTTCTGGGAAGTTTTACTGGACAGATTTCAGAGGGGAAACAAGGACAAAAGTTCCCTTAAACACCCCTCCCTTTCCTCCCTCTTCCCCAGGTTTAATTTAGGAAAATAACTTTCTTTGTTTAACTTAACTTTACTTTGATTATAATTATACTGTTGCAAAAAGTTGCGTACACAAACCCAGACACAATTTCTCCTTTCCTTCTTGGGAAGTTTCAAAATGTAAGGGTTTGGTTTACAGTCAGGTAAATTTTGAAAATAAGGAGTTCATTACATGGCTGTTATATCTTTCTTCCCTTTCTTTAATGATTAAATGATATTTCAAGGTGTGGGGTTTTCTGTTGGTTGGTAGGTTGGTTTTGTTTTTAGTGAAGGGACCAAATGTGCATAGTATTTTACTTGACACAAAATATTTAATTTATTTGAATTATCTCTTCTGAATATTTTCAATGAGCTTCAGTAACACAGCAAACTTTATTCTTTTCTGTACAGGACAACAGCAGAAGTCTTCTATCTTACATTGTCTCATATTATTTGCGTAATTTTGATGAGGTAAGAATTAACTTTTCTCTTTTCAAGTAAAAAAAAATTAGTAAATTTTTTCTTCTACTAGCAAGAAGAGGAAATATGCACAAATATTCCCTGTGCTTTCAGTTATATATTTTAGTATAGCAAAAAGTAATGAGCACTGTGTAACTGATCATTTGTGGTTTTGTCAGGATGCTGGAAAAGAACAATGCATCTTTCCTCTTCCGGACCCACAAGATCTCTTCCAGGCTTCACAATTGAAATTTGATGATTTTCAAAAAGATCTCCGCAAAATGAAGAAAGATTTGCGAGGTATGAACCTAGATTAAGTTCTAACTATATGTTACCAATATATCCCTGCTGCTATTATTTTGTGTGATTTTTAAACTTTAGATGATACTGTAAAAATACTTGTGTATTTTTGAATCCTCAATTACTATTTTGTTTCTTTAATTTTGTTTTCCATGACCATTTAAGCAATAACTTGTAATTTTCTGTAGATAACCTGAGGTTTTTAAATTAAAAACATCAAACCAGTTAGGTCAAATCTTTTGTTTCAAAACTAAAGCAAAAAATTAATTTAGTTTTTCGTTTTTGGAAACATATTTTGGCAAGTCTTTCACCATAAAAAGAATTGCAAAGTGTTGGACCATGTCCATGAAAAAAAAAAAGGTTTATAATTGCCTCCAAATATTATCTAACAGATAAAATAATATGTATTAGATGCTGGTAAAGAGAGATTAAATAACTGGACTTTACTGAAAAGTAATATGCCAAGGTGGTATTTTTTTCCCTCTTGTGAAATGTTTTCTTTAAATGAATTCAACAGGCTTAGGATATATTTTCTAGACTTTAATAAAAAACATGTATCATACATTTCTTAATAACATGGGGATCTAAGAGCTAAGTTTAAGCAAGAGTACTTTGCACAAATGATTCATGATCTTCATTATTTTTGCTGTAGGTCCCTTTTAGACTGGGCAGTTATGTATCACTGTACTAAATCTTGGAGAGAAAAATCCAGATCAATGTGTAAAATTATCTTTATATTACTGTTACCTTGCTGATTTTGAATGCCATGCATTTAGAGACCAAGGAATGGTTTGGTAAGCCATCCCTGAACAATCTAGATTGGAAGGTTCTCTATTCAAACAAAAATGTCATTACCCAGTTATATCTGATCTTCCCTTCTTGCACCTGTCAACATTTTTTTGGATGTTTTAAAATTTATCTTAAATACTTTGAGGTAATATTTACAGTTGTAACAAGGTCACTTAGTGTGATAATGAGCAGTGAACTGCAACACCATCCATTCGCTGCCTGAACAATCTAGGGGGCAAAAATCCCGCAGTTCAGCCATGAAAACTTATTTCTATACTTTTTGCAACTTCCAGATAATCTCAGGGCAAATCTCCAGTCTTGCCATGTAGAAGAAAGATACTTAGGTCTTACTGAAAAAAGGTACTTGAATTCAAGCACATGTTAACAAACACCCATAGGGGCAGATTTTATTCCCCACAAATTCACCAAAACTGTTTTTATTTAGATGAAAAACTTAAATACTTTTAGATCAAGGTTGAAATTTCCCCACAGACATAAATCTCTTGTGGAATAAACCCACACTGTGCAGTGATCAAAGCAGGGGTTCTGTAAAAATGGAAATTTCACGCTTCGCTCTGCCATCTGTGCTTCCAGTCCACCCTTAGGCTGGAGTCTCTGTTGTCAGTCTGTTCTGTAGCTAATGAAACTGAAGAATAAATACAGACACCATTGCTCTTTCCTTATTCACTTTGGTACAAACTTTTTGGGGGACAGCATCAGACCTTCATCTGCATCCCCTCCAGCATGAAATGGCAGTTTCAATACCACACTGCAGTCTCAGTCATAATTTTATATCAGTCTTGAGGGATTCAAAATGCTTTATGTTGACTCTCTTTTCCAAAGAAAAGTGTAACCCTAAATTAAAAATAGTTTATATTAAAAGATTTTGTGACTGTGAGAATATACACTTAAAATTCGGGGTATTCCAATAGCTTAATTGTTGTAATACTTTCAGTGAGATCGAAAAGCCAGTAATTTCTAAATAGAGTACAAATTTTAACTGAATGGATAAAATTACTTCCAAGTGTTTTTTTTCTCTGCATTTACTTTAAGTACACTACCAGATTTGGTAATGCACATCTGGAACCTTATGAGTTCCTAGAACTAGCAAGTGCCTCATTAAATGATAGAGTAGGAAGAGAGCTGTGAGATGCTGAGAAAATTCTGACAAAATCCTAAATATGAGCCCATCCTTTTGAAGTCAGAGGGAGTAAATGAGTATTGATTATTCCTGGGAAACACTGACTTTAAAGCCACAGAAATAATGCCCAAGAATATATTCCAGCTTTTGAGATGTGAATTGTAACCCTGGACCTGTATTCATCAGTAATTAGATGGAAGATTTCATGAGAGGATTTCACCATTTGGTGGGCTGGGTGGTTTGCTTTGTTCTTTGTCACTGAAAAACTGAAAATTACACATAACATCAGTGCAGGCTGTATGACCATTGCAAGGGTATTGTGTTCATGTTAGTTGCAAATACCCTGCAAACCATGCAGTGAGATCATGCTTGTTACAATGAGAAAAGAGGGCATTGGTTCACCCAGGAAAAAAAGCTATGAAGATATTTTATTTCTGTCTTAAAAAACTTCCCATGATCATTATGCAAAGGTAGGCTTTATTCTGGGAAGACCCTTTCATAAAATTTTGGGACCATTAAAAAAAAAATCCACAAAGTAGAGGAAGGTTATTATTAAAAAATAAAAAAAATTATTGCCATAACAATAGCAGTTCATTCTAGCACTGCTGTATTTTTCCATCTAAAGATGTCAGTAGCATACACAGAGACATGCAGATATAAATAATCTTCATGGTTCTGTAAAGTAATTTCACTGACATGCTCTTTCACAGTTCTGAGTTTGGGCTTATGTTTATATTAGAGTTGTCATGCTAGCTGTTTAAAAAGAAAAAGGACTCTTGATGTTCAAACTTTTATGCTTTCTTCCCTTTAGACTATAGAGGCTATTTTCCATTTTTAAGTTTTTATGAACTGTATGCCTTGCAGTTTGTAAAATTTTAGAGAAGAAAGTTTCTTCTAATATTTCAGATTAAAAATGCAAAACTCAAAAGACTCTCAGAAGCATGCTGTGTGCCTGTTCCAAGATAAATAAGACAGAAACTTGTTTGTGTTTGTTTTTTTTTTTTTTTTTTAAGAATATAGAACCCAGGGATAAATTTTATATAGTAGATTTTTTGTAAGATAGAAGACCAAAGAACAGGTAGATCCTTTTACTAACAAATCAAGTGAGTTTGGCTCCATCTGTAGCTCCCAGATTTCACAGCTCTCCAGGATTCTCACTTTAGCCTTTTTGACTTCAGTGACATATAGCTTGTTAAGCAACTTGATCTGCTTTTGATCTCTCCTGGCTGTCAGCAATGTTCCTTGATGCAGTCATGCCAAGCAATGACTTCTGTTCCTATGTCATTCCACAGAGGAAACTTTAGCACTTGCCACATGACTTAAATCAACTCACCATGTAAAGAAAATTGGGCATCCAGGGTCACAGGAGCAGTGTGACTCTCACTGATTAGGACCTCTGTTACATAACTATTACTATCAGTGTGCTTTTCTAGACACTTCAGAATGCTTCGGGTAGGGCAGAAAGATGTGGAAAATGTGCATTGAATCAATTAATGTTCTAATCCTCTCTACTGTGAAACTCCATTAAGGTAAAATTGTGGAATAAGAAAATGCTGGATTTGTGGCCCACGAAATTCTTCGAGACGTGCATTTAGTTTAGAAAAGAACTAGAACACCAAAATAGCATTGAGAGTTAGAGTACTTAGGGCAAGTTAAAATGTTTAGAAGCTGTTCTTTGGCTACACATTAACATTTTAGTCTTACAATAGTAAGTTTATTCTTGCTAATCAAAAACTAATTCATCAGTTGTCACTTATTGCAAAACTTTCACTGAAGCTCAGCTAGAAACAATGTCAGGCAGAAAATAAATCTGACTAGTAGAAGAGATTAATAATACAATATAATGTGGATTGCTATAAAATTGAGTTGAAGTCTGTACTTGTTTATATGTCATAGTCATATTTAATATATTTGATTGAAAAGTGATTACAAGTAATAATTATGATAATGAAACATTATTTTTGTAGTGATGCTTTCTTTTCCTATTCTAAGTGTTTACAACTCATTGAAAAGTCTCCATCCAAAAGAAGCTAGGCTGTGTGGCCCAATACATCTCTCTGGTTTGGAATAAATGTGACAGAGAATGTTTATAAAGTGTTAAGCATTTGCAGAACACTTTGTATTTTAAAAGTATGTTCCAATAAAAGCCCCACAGTAACTTGGAAAAATACATGTTCCCTATTTTTTAAGTGCTTCTTAGTCACCTAAAATTACCTATTCAGCTTGGATCTTCTAGTTGTAGAGCTGTTATGTGCTCTCATGTTTAACACCTGCTGCGTAAATCAGAGTACTGGAAGTACCACATTGTGCAATAGAGACGTGTAAAAGTTATATTTGGGGTGGTGTCAATGTGGGACTGAGAGAGGACAGTAATAGGCATGCTAGTCATTCTTCTTGCCTCAGTAAAGGTTACCCCTAACACCTAACAAGAGGCCCGTACCCTGAAAGTGCAGTCAAGCAGTAGTTTGAAATGAAAGTTGCCCACAAAGAGGAAAATCTGTGTCTGGGGTTACTTTGCAAAACCAGATTGTGTCCGCTGTTATTTCTTATTCATAAGTAATATTAATGTTTACAGGCTGAAATAAATTAAAATAAATGCACCATTCTATTTGCACACCATCCTCTATCTCTCTCTCTCTCTCATACACACATGTGCACATACACACATCCTTGTATCTTTTCGTATTCCCTAGACTGTTTCCATTACAGTTCTGATTATGGGGCTGAGATTTTGGAACATTTCAATGACACTTCTTGTTTAGGTGTGGTATTAATTTCAACTTCAGCTAACAAAATTGAGCAGTCTTAAGCCATTTAAGGCCCTAATTCAGATGGAAGGAAGGGATTGCTCTCCTAAAGCAGAAGAAGGACGATCTGAGGATTGATTGATTCATTTTTCTGCAAAGGAAAGGTCTTGAGTCTAGTCTGATGGTCTGTCTTTTAAATAGCTAATGTTTGATGAAATTAAGTGCATCCTAAGAGGTTTCCCAAAAACTTCAGATTTTTTTTTTTATATGTTTGTACATTGATATTTCAAGTTTCAAAAGAAGATGGGAAGCTGGAGAACTGCATAAAAATCTGTATTCTTCAGAGTTTGAATTCATTGCATCATCAAATATGTTCTGTTCCAAGATACTTTTAAATGTCTGTGTTTTTGTTCTTCTCTGACAATAGTTTTGATATAAACATGAATGAAAAATTTTCACAATTAGGAAATAAATCTTTGATTTTTCCTAAATGATTAATAGATCCATATTACAATGAAAATATGCCTTCAGTCTTTTATAATAAAATGCCAAATCTCTCAAGGTAATTAATAGCAAAATAATACAGCAACATTAGTGGTTTTGGTCAATCCTCCAGTTATCTGTACAATCTACCTTTGCAGAAACAACTATTGTTTTAACCAAATTAAATATTTCCTTTTGTCTATTCATTAACAACTGTGCATCCACACACTGTAGCTGTTTGTTCAGTTATTACTGAAAGGGTTAATTGCTGCAGCTATGCAGCATGCAGACCTCTAAACCTAAACCAGATGTAAACTAAAGCTAGGCTTTCAGTCAATCTGTGAGTCATATTTTACTGTCCTTAAAACTCCAAACAAGGAACTGTCTATGGAAGCCCTTGAAGACTCAGCAGTTCTTAGTGTAAGAAATTAGGAGCTCTTTCTGTATTTGTGGCCGGATTCATGAGAGTTTGTCTTTTGATGAAGTTCTTTGGATGAAGTCTAAGCTTTCTTTTAAAGTTCACAGGTTGCAGTTGTAAAGAATCCAGAAAGTACTGAGGAAGTTGTGAAAACAGTGGTTATGCTGTTATAAACTTTTCAAACAAGTAGGACACAGGCACATCATCTGTGGAAGTCTGAGTACTCAGAACCTCAGAAAATTAGGGACATAGTTTCAAAACTTCCTTAAAGGCCTAAAAACAAATAGTCCATCAAGTTTTAATTAAACTTTTGCTCTCAAATACCTGAAATAGCCTTGAAAATCCACTTGAATTCTATCAGACTTCTATAGATAAGTATGTGGTTTCAGAAGTAGTTAACAAAAACAACTTCATAAACCTCTTCATTACTCATCAAAGGTATTTAAAAATTCTGCTTACTTTCCTTTTGATCTTTTTTTGCCAGGTTGCTGCTTGTTGTTGTTGAGTTTGGGGTTTTTGTTTGGCTGATTGGTTTTCTTTTTGGTTTAATTTTTATGTTTTGGGTATGTTGAAACAAAAAAATCATGCTGCTCATTATTATCCTGACCAGAGACAATGCAGTAAGACTGAGGAGCAGCTAATCATCTGCTCACACATTTTTTTCAAGAAGACATATTTTCTTATTAGAAGATGTTTATGCTTCCAAGGGCTAAAATTTAGCATCCAACAGAACTAGATGGAAAACATTATGCTTTCAAAAGGTAGTCTTAATGTTGAAAACATTTTTTTTCTTTTTTAAAAAAGTGAAGCGACTATTTTTGGTAATGCGACTGGTTGCATTTTAGATCATTTATCAGACTCACTTATTAAAAATGTTAGTACAAAGCATGGAATGTTTAGCGGCTTTTCTTTTCCTTTTCTGTATAGATGTCTCTTAGCTGATACTGGCTCTTGTGAAACTTTATGTATTTTTAGTATATTGATGTAAAATAAAATTAAAAAAATAGGATAAACAAGCCAACTCAGTAGCTTGAAGAAAATGCAATTAATTGTATTTTAACACAGAAATGGATAATGAGATAAGATTCTTGAAATAGTTAATACAACTGAAATTGCAATTTGTTTAAATCTCTAAACTGGTTTTGAACATAGATTTTCTCATCAATTTCTAGATCAGGAGCATTTGAGAGACCTGCAAATGTATGGGCAAAAAGCTACCAGTCTGAATTGCCCAAAATTTAGAAGGTTCTCCCACATTGGTCTTTTCCATTGCTTATACTTTGCTTATATGTTAAACTGATTTAGAGTTTTGGAGAACAGGTGTCTCTGCTCTTGCCAGCTTTTGCTTAGAACTTGAGACCTTTGGAAGGTATAAGATCAGTGCATGAGGACTGGGTATTTGGGACTACAAGATACTGAAACGTTCACCTTGCTCTAAAGCAACACAGACGAGTTTTTATCTTTCTTTATTCCTGTTTGTGCAATTCCATCTTGGGATATAAGCTTCTACCTAGCACTTGGCTTTTGCAACTGCATACGTGACTTGCGTATCATTCAATTCTTTCATTACAAGGAGATTTAAAATTTACTTGAAGTAAATGAAGTTTAGAAATACGCCAACTTTTGTCTAAGTTTTTCAGTTGTATACATATCTCCCAAGATGAGAGAATAAACTAAACCTTTGAGAATAGGAATGATAACCAGAGCGAGTTTTGAGCCTGTTGTGAAAAATCAGGCAAGCTTTTGTTTTAGACAAAACTTTTTCAAAGTTGTCACAGCAGGTCCCCTTTGCCACCTATTCCTTTGATATCTGGGATGTTTAGGTGGGCTGTTTCATAGAGATAAATGTGTTGGAATATGAAGCTGAGGTTAAAAAACAAGATCAAATTTAGAAGGCTGTGAGTATTCTCATGTACTTTTTTTCCCCCATGTGTTACTTCCATGTTGCTTAGAAGTTATTAAATATTCTTCTGACACAAACATTTATTCTTTATCTTATTTCTTCACTTGGACAAAAATACTGATGACTATCTGGTATTATGTATTTCATATGATCAGCGCTTTAATTTCTTCATTTACAGTGAGGAATAGCGATAGCTCATACAAGTAGAGAGGGTTTCTACTCCGGTGACAAATTATAGGACATGATAAATTAGTGCTATATCCAACAGGTTGTGCAGAAAGACCATGATTCCAGTCTTGGTGATCTGAAAAACTGATAAACTTAAGATGAGCTTATAGGCCTGTTAATCCTTTAATGAGGAAAGCATCTGATGAACTAGTTTGTTTTAAGCATCATAATACTGATATTAGTATGGTAATAGTGACAGAATTTGTCAACTTTTAAAGTCTGAAGCTATGTATGATATTTTACTCTCTATAAAACAAGGGAAAGGGATTTTTGTTTTCCCTGTGTTTTCTTTTGTATTGTAATTACTTAGTGTTTGCAATTCAGGAATAGGGTCAAAAATAGAGCTGAACTACTGTTCTACTGAACATCGCTGATTTTAGTCTTTTCATGGGTGGAACGGGGGGTGGGAAGAAATAAACATAAGTAACTCCACCAAAAAATGAAGAAACAAAGCTATCATTAACAGCACACCCTTTCCCACACCCCACATGCATGCACAAACAAATCAACTGTGAAAGAGCTTCTAGTATCTGGTTAAAGAAGAGACACTTCATTCTGACAATATTATACTTTTTTTTTTCCGTAATAAATTGAATATAAAGCTTAGAATATGCCACATTTCCATACACATTTTGAAAGGCACTGCTTCAGGTTGTTGACATGGGTATAGGCTAAGATTTTTGGTGGGTATGAGTCTTCATTAGATCTACACTTCTCTCAGATTGCCTGAGAGATCAGGAGTTCAACATGAGTGGTATATGTTACTTAAAGAGAGTATAATGCTGTTCTGCTCTGAAAAATATTTAATCCATGTTCTGGGAAAAAGTGTGAAATTTTGATGATATTAAATGTTATGGTAGGTTCTATAGCCTTTTCAGCTTTACCACTAATTTCTGAAAAAGAGAAAAGCATGATAGAAAATCTATATATTACCATTACAGAATGTCTTTCTTTGTAGAATAGTACATAACTTCTCTACTTCTTGTCTGTCATGTGTTTTAAGAAAATTCATGGTCATTTGGATCCCCTTCCCTATTTCAGAAGTGTAACTAAAAATTTTGTTTAAAATTCCTTTCAAAATTACAGTCTTGTAATTATGTAATTACGCATTATATGACTATATTTGTAGGGGGTTTAGGTTTATTCTTTTATTTTTAATATTACTTCATAAGCAGGTTACCTGTCTAATTAGATATATTCATGCTTATTTTCCCCTTAAAATCAGATTTCCCTTATAATGAAAATCGGAGCTTAACATTCACCTGAAGTAACAGTCCCGTCTTCAGTTGCCCCAAGTTAAATTAACTTGGATAATTAGTGGTAGTATGATGGTACTTACAAATGAATAATCTGTGTCAGACCTGCTTTAGGTTCCAACTTCTCTGTCCTGGTCTCTAGTGCAGTAAGAACCAAGATGTGCTCCAAGGTCTTTATTCATAGAGTTCAAGCCATGAGAACTGTACTCCTTAAATCTTTCACTTTAATCCTTTTGCACTATTACTTTTGAACAACGCAATACACTTCTACTACAACTGTTGTTTTGTCAAGTATCAAGCTCCCATCTGGCTTTACTCACTAAATTAAGGTCATTCCCACTATTTGGTGCAGGTTTTGCATCTGATCTTTGTTTCAGGCACTGTCACTGGGGCCAGGTATATGAACACAGCATGGAATCTCAGTTTGCAATTTTTTTCCCCTACAATTCTTCCCCCTAAATTTGTCTTTTTCCTTCAAAAGAATTCAAAACTTAATTTTTGATGATGCCACTCATTTAAACTCACACACTGGCCAAAAATTATTTCCATATTTTGGTCAAAAATATTTGACCAGGAATAAAACTGTTCCTGAATACATTACCACTGTGTTTGTACTTGAAGTAGTGTGTTTGAGGCACATATTCCAGCCGTTTCACTGGCTATGAATTAAAGTGTCTTTTATTACAGTATGTAATGATGTGTCATCCTGAACTAATCTGTTACTTGAATTTCAGCATGTGAGACAGAAGCAGCAAAAGTTTATCAGCTATCACTAGAGGAGCACCTCCAGCCTTTCAAAGACAACATGGAGCAATTCATTAGTCAAGGTAAATAATGAAACGTCACTTAACCTTTTCATGACATTTCAAAGGAAAGTTATGGGAACAATGTTTATACATTGTGGGAAAGGGACTGTTTATTTTGGCATCATAGAAAGATGTGGATTAGTTTAATCAGATGCCACACAGTTCTAAAAGATTTGCAAAATGATTCTCTTGTACTGTAGGTGACTCACTCTCTTGTGCATGACAGCAAAGACAGCAAAGACAAATGCTATTGGCTTGAGGGTGTGATCTTCTGATTAGTTCAACATTCCAGTAGAAAACAAATTTACAGCTTTTGTTCCTTGAAAAATTGTTGAAGCTGGATCTGTTTCATTAATTTCATTCCAAAGAGATAATTCTCTTGTATGCACCAAAAAACATGGAACAAGCATAGCAAAAGTAGTTAAAGGTTTTCCAGAGATAAGGTAAATTCATATGAAATACTTGGATCTGAATAATGGAAAATACTGCAAGAGACAATATATTAGAAATATCCATGATTGACTGGCAGCCTGAGTATTAGAAGGAAAACACTTTAAAATTAAATAGACTATGCTTTACTGGACCATTTCTGACAAGATTATAGGATATAAGATATATCAGAGCATCTCTTGAAATGGTATACTCTGTATTGAACAATTTGCTTTTTAATACAAGTTAGAATTCAATGCATCAGGGTTAAAATTCCATGATGAGTACACCAACATAACTTTAACATTTTATTGCTCCTTCTGCCTTAATACTGCCTTTTATAATCAATGATGGACCTGTTGTCTTCTGAACAGGCAAATTATTTGATTTTGTGCTGATTCAATGGACCTGTCAGTAATTCATTAGCCTCGAGATGTGTTAAATAGCTACCATATATAAAATCTTTGTTAACTGGGTGAGCTTTGTGTTTGAGAGGCTGGTCAGATATGCATTTATTCTTCCTGGATCTGTTATCCAAGATGAACATCTATCCAGACATTTTAAAAAGTGGAATATGTACAGAATCATTGAGTGGCTTGGGCTGGAGGGGACCAGACCAGGTTGCTCATGTGTTCTACTACTTACTGATCTATGCTACAGGGCTCTCAATTACATTTAATAAATTGAGCAAACTCACCATTTTGAATCACCAAGTGTGAACTGATGTTCCCTAAGACAAACATATACTAGCCAAATCGGGCAAAGAGCATGTTTTGTCCAGCAATAATAGGTATGAACTGATGTAAAACTGAATTCTGATTATGTACATTACTTATTAATATTACAGTAGTGATTATGATTATACATGTAGCAAGTGTTTTGCATTAGGGTTATATTATTGTTTGTATGTATACATAGGGGAAATTCAAATCTCAAATTTGTCTGAAAGAGATTATTAATGACATATTGTAAATCATGCCATATGTTTGCGTATTAACCTTAATAATAGAGTAGGAAATCAAACACGGAGCTTATCCCTGAAACTGTTTAAGGCCAGGTTGGATGGAGCTCTGAGCAACCTGGTCTAGTGAAAGGTGTCCCTGTCCATGGCAGGGATGTTGGAACTAGATGATCTTTAAGGTCCCTTCCAACCCAATGATTCTATAATTATATTTCAACAGAAATATAATTTCTGTTAAATTTCTGTTACTTGTTTTAGAAACCATACTTATGGAAATATTGGACTTTTGACCTTGGCTTACTTTGTGATTTCTAACTACAACTTCCAGAAGATAATTTTATATAATCTATATAGTGATCTGTTCTGTTTCGACAAGGATATGCAATTGTCTTTCTTGATTATGTGTCTGTACTTTTGGAGAGTGAGGAAAAAGACAAAAAAAATTAATCTCATCCATTAAGAATTTTGCTGTGTTGCCATATTAACAGTTTATTGACAAAAGGATAAATGCATAATGTCAGTAAAAATATCAGTGTCTAATTTTAATGAAAATAACTGGAAATATGTATTGTGAACAGAGTTAACTGATTAAACAATTTCTACATTTTCTTTTTTAAACTGCAAGGCCTATTGTGCAGAATTCTGTCCCAGTGTAAGAAAGACAAAGGTTAACATATAGGAAAAAAGAATCCCTGGTTAAGTTCCAAAAATAAAGTAATTTAAATACCTTTCATTATGAAATCCTTTGTTTTTACTTCATGGGATTGAATTCAGACTTGAAAGAGGCCATGTTTAAAGCAGGATTTCTCTTTCCTGTTCAGTGTTTGACAGGCTTTTGATCTAGATATTTTTTCTAAGGGCTTTTGTTGTTTATGTAGACATAATCGATGAGTCTTTTCAGCTAGACTGCACACATGATCATTTAGAAAAACAGAGGGACAATTCTTGGCACCTTTTGGGGATTTTTGTTTATATAACATATGCTCTGGGCAAAGAAAAATCAAGCTTTAAGTTTTTATCTTTTCAAGTTCCAGTTTCTCTAAAGTCAGAAAGTTTTAACTTGTAATTCAGATGAAAAGCATTTTTCATAAGGTTGAATAATTTGGCAAGTTTATATGATGCCTTTACAGAGTAGATAACTTGTGTGCATAATGGGACCCAAAAGTTCAAAGTAGCTAGTTATTTACAGCGTATTCACTTATACTTGTTGCTAGCAGCTAAAATGGAAAATGGTTTTCCCATAGGCAAGAAAATTTGGACATCAAATGAAATATCCTTGGCAAGAGGTTAGAAAGGCTCTGCTTTATAAGAATAGTTATTGTCATACACTGTTAGATAACTTTAAATTACAATACTGCAAGCTAGCTAATTGTTACTAGTGACGTATTAAGTGTTAAAATTGAAAAAGATTTTTTTAATTATTAGGTTCGTCAGAGGCAAAGAAAGGTTATATATCGTTAGCTATCATGTAAAGATGATTTCATTTGAAAGCTAAAGAAGGGAAAGAGGCAAGAAAGTGTTCAGAATCATAATGTTGCTAGATGAAGGCTATTCAGCATTTGCCTTGCCAGCCAAGTCAGTGGGCTAAATAACTAGGATATCATCAAAGTATGCACATTAGTAACACGATGCCAGTCATTTTTCTGATAGACTTCAGGGTTATTCTTAAAATGATCATTCTACTTAACAGAAAATTAAACTACTTGTTCTGTCCTCTCTCCATTGGCCTAGTGGTTATTTGTGATTTACAAGCATGACTTATCCTGTGGGTTGGATTTCTGAGGGTCTTGTGCCTCAAAGGCGATCCTCTGTGTTCTTCCATGTTTTCTTTCCTCTTTTTAAGTCTTCATACTGCAAATCATCAATCATATAATGTCGTTCTCCTGTTCTTACAAATGTTAATTTTTTTTTCTGAACTTCTTCATAGCCATGGGGTTTAAAAAAGGGGGAGAAAAAAAAAAGAAAAAGAAGAGCTACTTCAAAAAACGAGATTGTAGAAAAATTGTGAGAAAATACAAGACTTTTCAAAATTATATTGTTGATTTTTTAGTTTGTTATAACCATTTCTGTAAGGGTTTCCAATATGTGAGTAACATATAACTGTGAAATTTAGTAAAACAACTGTACTTTTCCCGTAAAAAAAATTATTCACACCAAACAGCAGGAATTTAAAATTTGCATCTCCCCAATATAGGGTATATAGTCACATTTTCTATCTTTGAGTTAGTTACTCCCTACAAGTTATCACAATTTGAATAAGAGAGATTGAAAGGAGAATGCTATTTGGGAACCTTGTGTCCATTGTTTCATATTTATTTGTGGACAGATAGGGATGCAAATACATGAGAGATCACATCCACCACTTTGGAAAGCTTCAGAAATCACTTGTTTTCCTGGGGGAAATCTGTCTGATACACAGGACAGTGAAGAAATGTTGAGTGTGCTAATCATCAGGCAGTTTGTAGAGGAATTTCATTAACAGTTAGTAATCCTTTAACCTTGTCCCTACTTGATAGGATAGCCAGCTCATGTTGAAAGAATTATGCCTGCATGAACCACAAATGATTCACAGTCCCCAGGTTTTAAATGTGGTTAATTTTGCAGTGAAAAGCAGTCTTTGTGTGTTTGTTGTTGGGACTCTGTCTAGGCTGTGCATTCTTGTCAGCTTGATAAGGCAGGAAACTTATGACAGGAGGCAGCAACCATCACTCCTTCAGAATAGGAAGTCTTGTTTGGGAAGTGTACTTTGGACTTTAGAAAAAACATTATGTCACAGGAAATAAAAGCATTGTTTGCAGAGGTAAAAACGGAGATTTCTGATCTTTGGCTAGTTCTTCTAAAAGCATTGGGAATAATTCCAGTGTGATTGCAAGTTTGGGACCACAAGGTAACCATTCAGCCTTTGGTTCCTTCTGGTCATAATTTTGCAAAACTGGAGTTTTGCTGTTGTGAGTGAATACCAGCCTCAGGTCTTGTTCTGCTGGACCCAAGAATACAGATTATTCTCTAGAACTCTTTTTTAGCCACATCCTCGTGATCTTGCAGAACAATGATGCTAAAACTGACCTTTTAGGTTAACAGTCTATAACCATCTCTCTCCTTTGCCTGGAAGAGCATTCAGGAACCCAGTTTCCAAACTGCTAGTAAATGAGTGTATAAATCACTGTGTGTTGCATTTATCACTGCAGATGTAACCAGATAGTTGACCGTGACTTTTCTTTTAGGTCAAGCAGCAAAAGGCTGTGCATCATCAAATGATGGATTGTGAATGAGACTAAAGCACCAGACTGAATCTTGGATGGCTGGGTTAAGTTCCTGGCTCCAGAAGTATTGTAGATGATTGCGAAATGAGTGCTGCTAGGGTAATTTTAATTCTGGCATTTTCTACCCCAGAATGATTGATTTTGCAGATTTCATTTTCTTTAATGTTGCTTTTATAATTTGATTAATACAAGGGAGAACATAGCAGTACTGCGTAATTTTTCTAAAAGTATGTTGAGGAAAATGTGACTGAAAGATGATTAGGAAGATATATGAATAAATGTTTTTGTTTTTCTTTGAAAAAATGCACAGAGCATTAAGAAGTTGGATATTGTTAGATTTATGTAGAGGCACTTTAAATATTATCATC